CAGTGGGCACACCAGGCTTGGCAGGCTGGGGGATGCCAGGCAGGCACAGGAGGGCAAGGGCATCAGCCTACATGGCAAAGCTCTCACTCTCTCGCAGGATGCCCAGCTCAGTGCTGACTACGATTCCAATAGCATTTTGGGTTGACTGAGGCTGTTATTTGTCCCTGAACTATTCAGTCCCACCACCAATCTGATTTCAAATCCACTAGCATCTTTCTAGACCTTTTTTCCTAGTGACATTCTTGTGCTTCACTGAGACGCTTGATCCAAGCACAGAGGAGTCTTTTATTACATGAAAAATCATTGCTGTCAATCCTCTATAGAATATTTTGTGTATGACAAGCTCCAGTTGTATAGTAAGTGAAATACTTTAAAGATCACAACCAACATCCTTCCAGAGGGAGGAAAGGGGGAAAAAAAAAAACCAAAACCAAAACCCAAACACAAACAAACATGGTATAAGCAAATGCAGGTCTCAAAAGGCAGCAAATAAAAAAAAAAGAAAATAACCCAAAAAAAGCATGTTGCCATACAGTTAAGTAAGTGCTGTCTTTAAGCCTGAAGTTCAACAATGTGAAGTGGAACATCACCATTCTTTTTCAGTTGCCTCTTTTTTTTTTTTTTATTTTTTGTCAGTAGTTGGATTGCTATTGCAAACACCTTCACAACATACAAAAAACAAATTTGTTTTTAATCCAGAATAAGGTAATGGTATTTTTTTTTCCTTTTTCAATCTGATGGGTGTTCAAAAGTAAAAGAGAAACAGTAAAACTATGACAACAGCACCTTGACATTGTTTTAATTCCAACGCTATCAGAAGTTAAAAGCAGTAAACAGATATAATACTAACAGGAATAAAGATACTTACTGTCTAAAATGTAAACGGAATGTTTTGGTTCAATTTATTTTTCTGAAAGAGGACAGTTTATCATCAATTCACAATTGAAGCAGCATGCAATTTTATTCTTTTTTTTTTTTAAAACTTTTTATATTTTCAATTCTTGGCAACGGCGACAAACCACAATGTTATCAAGGAATGTAATGCAGACTTTTTTGTTTGCTTGTTTTTCTTTTTTTTTGTTTTGGTTTTTTTTTTTTTTTTAAACTTGTGCGCAAATGACTTTTGTTCCCCTTCAGGTCATGGATATGTTCAATAAATAGATTGTGGAACCACTGTACTGTATAAACTTCAGTTATACATGCAGTCCATAAAATTATTTTTTTTACCGAATAATTTACCCTGTTATGTATATATACAAATAGATAATTTTGTCTCAATATAATCTATACAACACAAATCCACTATCTTCCCCTTTTAATGGTTAATGTACATACACAGGAAGTGTCTATCCTTATAAAGCGCCAGCCAACTCTCTTTTTATTATCCATGGTGAGAGCTCTCACGTAAGACTGGGTAGTTCGGCACTGGGAGTTCCAGTGCCTCTTGTCTATGCCCCTGCAGCCCTCCTTTGTGTACCCCTTGGGGTTGCATTTGGTCTCATAGAAGTATTGCTTCAGTTGGCCTTTGGGCACTGGGACTTTCTCCAGGACCGTGACAGTCGCCCCGGACATGTCCACTGCAGTCTTTTTCTCTGCCGCCGTCACCCACTCGCTGGTGCTGTCACATACGCTCAGTTCCCCACGGCGAGCTGGGTCAGAGTGGCGCCGGACCCTCATGGACATGTTTGCAGCATCCAAGTAGTTTTTGTACTCCTCGAGCAGAAAGAGCAGTGGGGGTTCCAAAGGCACTTGACTGCTTAGCATGACTCGGGATGTGTACAAGTCTGCATCCTTGTTTTCCTCGCTGGGCTGGATGTCCTGGTCCTCATCTAGAAGCTCCTCTATGACATGTTCAAAAGTGTCCGCCAGCGACGTCAGTCCTCTTGAGCCAGCATGGGGCCCATTTAGGCTCTCAAGAGTCCCATGGGTCCGAAGACCTGGGTAAGCCAAGCTGCCTTGTCCTCTTACACTAGCTTCTTTCATCGGGGCAGCTTTCATGCAACTGAAGTATGAGATAACCATAGTAAGGAAAAGGATGGTCATCACTCTTCTCACTTGGTGGAACTGTTAATGACAAGAACAAGAGGAAAAAAAAAAATTAACTTACAAGGGATGGAGTAATAAAAATTCACCTGAGCTGTCATGAGACATTACGCATTTTCTGCAGAGATCTGCTGCATGCAGCCGCAACTCATTACTGGTGATAAAGCATACTCTTGTACCAGGGCGCTCTTTGATGTAGAGTTTCAGATAAAGCATATGCCAAAGCTTAGGCAAAATTGATGCCAGCAAGTCAGAGTTCTTACGGGCCAAAGTCTTTCTGTAGTAAGTTTTAGATTAGATACTATGATTAGATACTAGATTAGATACTTATCTATTGATCAATCACACCCATTTCAAGTAAGAGCAAAAGCAGAACTGCTATTTAGCCATACAACATTTCAGCAATAAAAGGCAGCTTCACACAAGTGAAAGGCAAGACTTCCATTTCAAATGCAAATATTTGATTTTTAAGATATTTCTATGCCAAAAATATTTCATCATTCTATCCAGAAAAAAAAATAAATGAACAGCCCCAGGATAAATTGCATTTGTATTTTGAAAGCAACCTTCAAAACACAGGAAGAGGCCATACAATCCTGAGGTCTCAGCAGGTCAGTTCCTCATCTAAAAGTAGAAGGTATGTATGCATAAATATAGAACAAAAAAATGGTCCAGGACAGTGTACTAAATTTGAGCTGGACAGATTGCTTGCATCATGTGAATGCCATGGAAGGGACCTGCTGGATTACAGAGCTGATAAGATATATACTGAAATGACAGTACCAGAATCACTGTACCGTACTTTCCCAGAGCCCCATACCGCCTGCTCTCAGGCCGGCAAAGCATCTATTTAAACCCAGTTAAAAGCCCAGAGCCCAGCATGAAAACCAGAAGCACAACCAGCCCTACTGCCATACCGAAGCACAGCAGTTTGCCCATTTCTCTCGCATTCTGCCCCAAGTTCTGGCACGGGCTATGGGCCATGCTTTGAGGCTTATGTGTACGCCTGGCTCTGTCCTCGTGGACCGTGGAGGGGTAACACTAGGAAAGAG